TTCCGAACTGGGTGCGGGCACGCCATGTGGACCCTGCCGAAGGGGCCATCGGCGGAGTTCCCTATGGAGCCACACGGCGCGTGAGGAGGGGAAGGGGGGGGGGGGACGAATCGGGTACGGGTACGCCGTGCGGACCCTACCGTTGGGGCTTTCGGTGGAACTCCCCATAGGGGGCACGAAACGTGCGAGCGGTGTGCGGACATAGCTGTGCGGAGGGCAAAAGCAAGGATGGGAGTACTAAGTGGCGCGAAGAAGGCGGGCACGGGGCGCTGCAGGATTAGGCCGAACAACATCGGGCCGAAACAAAAAATGTGAAATTAGCAGAGCAGGTACCGTTCGAGCGAGCCTGGTGCTCAAGCCTGTCTGTCGTGCCCTCGGTGGTCCCCATGCGCAACCGGACCTCACGGCGCAAACTCATGTGGGTGTTACGTGGGTGTTCTACCAATCGCGCCCGAAACAGAAGGGGCATTCTTCTAACCACATCCGTAACAGTTGCCGGCAACAAATAGGGTTCTGCTGACCGCCACCTCCAAAAAAAATACCTGCAGCGAGCACTCTACTGACCGCGCTCACGACACTACTGGTGGAACAGAAGCAATGGATATAATTACTGTTCAATCGACGCAGACGACTGGGGCAAGGCTCGCGCGCGCGTTCAACTTTCTCTTAAACCCTGGCCGCGCATGCATGGCAGGTCGATCCGTGCACCGGCGAGAGGAGGCTGAGATGATCAGGCGCCGGGATTACGCAGGTCGACCTTGTGACACAGTCAAACGAGTCGCCTCTTGACTACTGGGTGAGAGAGCTACGCTGGGAGCTCGGGGCGACTGCGTTGTGCTCGTAGCTGATCTGGCCGCCCATTGCGCTGAGGATGCGCCCCTGGCCAACGTTGCCCTCGGTCGTGGGGTCGGCCCGAGTGTCCCGAATATCGCGCAAGAGCAGATCCTCCATTTGCTCGGCGCGAAGCTGATCAGCCAACCGCCACAGGCTGCAGCGCCGCATCCACGAGCAGGGCGCCGAAGACAGACATGCCGTCGATGAGGAGATCTGCAGGGTTCGCGTAACCATGCGCAACCCCTCTCCTCTCTCAACCTCCTGATCTCCTCGGCACAGGCGGGGCTGTGCACCTTCTCACGCAGCGCGAGGAGGTGCGCCTGCAGTCCGTCAGCTGCGCCGCGTGCTGCGAGCAGCCCTGAGCCGAACGAGGACCTGCACACTCGCTCGCGCAATCGGCTAACTGCGTCCAACAAGTGGCACGCCTGTTTGCCAATGCTGCGGCTCTTGCCGAGACGCGCGCATACGGTTCCTCATGCCGCATCCTGTCTCCTCCTCCCTCCTGCAAGACCCGTCGCTGTGGGCGCTGAGTCAGCCGGCGCACTCCATCGCTAGAAATGCGAGGCGTGCCTTGATCTTCTGCGTGGCCAGAACGACTGCGTTGAGCTGCATCTCGCGTCGGATGAGCAGCTTGGTCTTGGCTCTCTGCAGGGCGACGACGCATGCTGCAACGCGGTGCCGGGTGGGCAGAGCGTAGGCCGCTGCTCCCAGGAGGGAGGCAAAGAGGTCTGGAAGCCTACGTCCAGCCGCCTCGTCGGCCTTGGCCTTGACCAGGTCAACGCGTCTGATCGGCATCAGAGCGCCGGTGTTCTCGCCCTGGTCTAGCGTCGTGGTGCCGCCGGCACTGCGGTGCTGATGCGCCCCAGAGTTGGTGGAATCGTCGAAATCACCGCTCACTCTCGACGTGGCTGATCAGCCAGTCGACGTGCTCCTTGCGTCCAGCGACCTCCAGGTCGCCAACGCGCTTGGACAACATGAGCACTAGCTCCTTGGAGCCTTCCCCTCGGGCGCGGTGGAGCAAGGGGGGCAAACTGGGGAGCGGCCGCATTGGATCCCCCACCTGCCCCCCCACCAAGCTTCTCATGCTTGACCTCGAGCTCCAGGCCCCGCCCAGTGGGTCTGGCGGTTCGCTCCAGCGACTCGCGACCTAGGCGAGCTTCGCGGAGGCCCGGGGCGCGCCCTGGCGGCCCGCGCGACCCGCTCGCCGAAGCTCTCGTGGCCGGGCGCCTGCCTGAGGACAAGTGCACTGCTGGCCGGCGGCGACGCGCGCCCGGTCTGGGCGACGCGCCGCCTCTGAAGGCAGCGAGCGCCGTGACGCCCCTGTCGCTGTTTTGGCGAACGCCTGCAGGGCTCCGGCGCCCATGTCGCGGAAACCTCTCAGCGCCATGCGGCGCCAGATGATCCGGGCAATCTTGCCGTCTGATCCCTTCCGGCGCTTCCACTTGAAGACGCGTCTGGGGCCCGTCGCGCGCCGGGCGCCCTTGAGAGGTCGCCTCTTGTGCCCTTGGCCCAGATGGTAAGCTCTCCGAGGATGGCCGCTGCGACCTCCGCTGACAACCTCGACGCTTCTTCGTCGGCCAGAAGGTCGGCTTCGCGTTCGAAGGCCGCGGTCTCGACGGCGGCATTGCTGTCGAGCGGTGATAAGCGCGGCTGTCAGGGGGGGGGACTAGCGGTACAATCGCCAGACGCTTCCTCGATAAAGATCAGGAATGCTTCCCGCGCTCCTGAATCAAGATACGCGTGTATCCGCATGCCTTCCCCCTTCGCCCTACGCGTGTATCCGCATGCCTTCCCCCTTCGCCCTTCTCCTCTAGCGTGGCGAAATCGTCCGTGGAGGCTCCGCGCAGTGGTAGTGGCACTGCGCGCGGGTGCTCTGGCGCTAGCGCCGCGTCGGGGCCCGCGGCCCAGGCAGGCCGCGGCGTGCTCGACAGCAGCGGAGATAGTTTGCCGGCCTACGGCGCTCTCCAGCTCCTCGAGCTCCTGGGTCAAATATTCTGCCCCTTCGACTTCGCGCCAGGCAACCCACGTCGCCTGTTGGACGCGGTCGGAGAGATCGCTGTCGGCCTCCTCAGACATAGCCGACAGGTCTGATGGTGCGCCGCATTGGTGGTGCTGGCGGCGTCCTCAGGAGAATCGATAACGCAATCATCGAGCGATCCGTCTCGGTCGCGTCTGGGGTCTGCTGCCAGCAGTGGCTCGCCACCCAGACTAAACTGAATGATGCGAGCTTCCTCCCAGTGCTCACCGACAAGTCGATGGGCGTCGAGCTTGACGCCGTCGAGGTGGATCTTCTGGATGTCGCTCGGGTTATGAGGAGGCCACCAGATAGCTGGGCTGCGGGCGCAGCCCGGCGATTGCCCCACAGTTTTCCAGCCGCGCATCAGATTGGCGCGAATGTCTGGCAGCTGAAAGCATCTGCGGGCCAGATGGCGCAGATCTTCGAGGATGTCCAGCGCTGCTAGGTCTGCGCTGTGATCTGCGCGCCCCGCGCGCCCCCCCAGTGGCCGAAGGTTCTGGCCCCAGGGCCTGGTGCGATGTGCTCCAGGAAATCCTCCACGAGGTCCGAAGCCAAGCCTGCTCGCGCCAGGCCAGTGCCCACATCGTCGAAGACGGCGCCGATGAATGGCCGCGTCTTGTAGTCTGCATGCCATGTGGGCTGGGCGGCATTTGACCGCCACCTTGCCTCGAGCCAGGTCCACAGACATGATCGCCCCAGGGATGGCCCAGCCCGACGCGTCCTTCGTGCTCGGGGGCCTGTGGATCTCCACCGGGTCGCCAACGTTGAAGCGGCCCCCCCTCTCCTGGGTGGCGCATGAGCTCGACGTGGCCCCGATCACCCGTTGCAAGGCGATATATCGGATGCGCCACTACAATCGGCTGGGCTGCACTTCTCACCTAGCAGAAGGGCTAGCGCCGGTGCCGCAGGCACCGGATACCTCACCCTCTTCGTCTGCTTCGGTTGGTGGCAGCATGGGCGGCTGCCGTCCGAAGACGACATTGCATGCTGCAGCGCCGCCCACGTGGGTGAGGCCGTTGCCGGCAAAGACAGCGCGACCCAGCATAGAGCCGAAGTTCGCCTTGATATCTTCGCGCTCTGGATGCTCCTCTACGGCGTGAAACGCGCGTCGTAGTATGGCACCACGTCGCTCGATCAAGCGAGCGTGCTGACGAGGGGCCAGAATATCAACCTGTACTCCTCGCTTCTTCATCTCCTCCACGAAGCATGGGGGAGTAAGTCTGTCCTCGCCGTGCACGATGAACGTCTCCATCACGCCGAACATCTGGGTCCATGAACGGTCGATGGTGGTGAGCAGCGTCGAGTCGTGCTGGGATGAGATCCCCTGACTATTGCGCCACCGTGAGTCGCAGCGGATCAGGCGCATGATCGCGCGACCCTCGTAGCACAAGATGTCGCCCTCGACGTGCTGGTTGAACCGTGTCGAAGGCGTAGTGTAGGGATGGCATGGCGTGCAGATGGTTGCCACTTGCGGCGCCCCCCATACAATGCTTGACCACAGTGGGGATGATGAGTTCCAGGATATATTGTGGTACGTCGCCTGTCGCAGTGCTCGTGCCATCTCCTCCTTGGTGGCGTGCCACCGCCAGAGGTGCAACTTGCGTAATTATCGTGCGCGTTCGCAATGACGTGGCGACGTCGAAGCAATACAATTCTGAGGGCGTCGGGTGACTGACAGCTGTGTCGGCAGCTCATGGTACTGATCGACTGGGCACTGCACATTTTGCTAAGCTGGCCGACATCTGCGGTCTAGTGGCAGTCGCGAGA